TATCTATCTATCTATCTATCTATCTATCTATCTATCTATCTATCTATATACACACACACACACTCGGGAAAATTCGTACGGAACTGAAAGCCACTTGCGACACGCCCACCTAGGTTATAAAAGAGCGAGAAACCAGGAGCAGCTAATGCAAAGCGTTCTGCCATGAGACCTCCATCAAGCCTCCATGAGAGATTCCAAGAATCTAAATCGAGAGCCGAGCGGTGGACAAGAACGTCGGCCACGTGCAGAGTTTGCCGACCTGAAAACAAGGGAGGAGCAGTGGAGTCGGTGTGTTCTCAAGCAGGTACAGGACTGGTCCCTTGCCATATGTAGAAGATCATAGATAGATGCTGCCCGCCCCTGCAATTAGACTAAAAGCCAGCAGGTTCCCTGTGCACACACACACACACATGCACTCAAGAAGCGAAATAGTTGCAACTAGTCATCAATCTGGACCCACATAGTTGCGAGTAGTTGCAACTAGTCTCTGGATTTCAAGGCTTACGAGATTGCTGGATTTCAAGGCTTACGCCTAAGAGCGGGCCGGGCAGGCAAGCAGTGCAGGCGTCAGGTGCAGGCCTTGTAGGCAGGCCTTGTAGGCGCAGGTAAGTAGGTGGGCTATGTTGGGGCTATGCAGGCCCACTTTGGAGCCATGTTGGGGCTACGTTGACCCATCTTCAAACCGCAGAGAGCGAGCAAAAGCTCCAAATGCCAATAACCGCCAACCGAGCGCGGGGACGCTCTACCCGAGGCACTGGAAACTCGCAGCGCACTGATAAAGCCTGGATGGACGCTCTATTCAGCGCGGATGGAGACATTGTTTAGAAACAATGAAAGATGGATCAACATAGCCTCAACGTTTTGGATGGCTGTGAGGTTGATTTCACATGCACGTTGTGCGAGATATGCTGCCCAAGAAGCTTTGCGTTATGCGCATTTTGTGCTTACTTTTGCTTGCTTGATTTCGGTGCATATCCCTTGTCAACCCAAGCTGCCCGGTTGCTGATGAATCTCAACAAGGTTTCTCATCCGGCAATCCACCACCTTCTGGGAGTCAATCACGAAGCCATCGAGGACTTGGAAGGAAGATCAGCTCTGTGATCTGCGAAAGCAGCGGGTGGAAATGAAGGAGAAAGAGATTGACTTCTGGAAGGGGCAATGTGGAGGCCGATGAGGCTACATTCGGTGGGAAAAATTGTTGGACAAACGTCGCTCCAGGACAAGAACGTGATTTTGCAACAACCTCACAAAATGAAGTTGCCTGGTGTGGAAATGTGTGAAGGTGAAAGGCACAAGGCACTGGCAAATGCCAAAGTACATTCGTTTGGTCTCGCATTAGCTGCCCGTTAAACAAAAGCAAGCCTGCAAAGGTCAAGTCTGGCACGCAGGTGATTGACATGGTTTGGCGGTTTCTAACCAGACTTGTACAGTGGGTCCTCCCATTTGCGGTCCAGGCTTCGCTCTGGCAATTGGGTCCATAAGAACCTGAACACATACTGGGTCGAGCGTGAGCCAGGAGCTGAAGTACATTCAGCGCACAGGAAAGCCCTATTTAACAAGCGCATTTGCAACGCACTTCAATATTTCACAAGTACATACAAATACAACATAATACATATGGTCGTGGTTCAAAACACACCTGTCCTAAACCATTCCTTGAACCAAACCTATGTGGCCCAAGGCTTGTCAGCCTCCAGGACCTCAAGGTGCCATGTAACCTCCGCATTGTTCTACCTAAACGTTAGCCCCGCGCGCACGTTGCAGTGTCGTCCTGTACTGTCAGGATGATGCCATTGCAGTGCTGGAAGCAAACTCCCGGCAAGAGAAGGCGCTCTCTTTCTGATGTCGACCTCCTTAATGTTTGCGAGTTTCTAGCTTTCTTGCTGCATAGACTTTTGACAGTTTGGCACCTTCTGCTAGCTCGATGGGGACGCCTACCGATGTTTTGTTTTCTTTTTGCTTGTGTTGGGGGCCCGAGTACGAGGCCTGTGTATATGTATATGTAGCGACAGAAGTGTTGGTTTTGCGCGCGATTAACAGGGCAAGTACGGCCGTGCACAAGAACCCCTTCACACGTTGAACGACTCCAAAATACATGTTTGCTGGCTTTTTGATTTCGTTTGGTTCGTTTTCAAGATAGCCTCCAGTTGGAGTAGTGACCGCAATGAGAGTAGGTCCAACTGTAGCAGACCCAGGGTTTGGCCGTAGTGTTTCTGCACACTACAGGTGTTGATTCGCCTGCAGCAAATCCACGTGCTTGCTGCAAGACACGTGTTTAAGTAAGGTTAGCTCAGGTGAAAGATTAGCTCCGAAGTCTACGTGTTGTTTTGGAAGTCCTGGGTAGCGGCATAGACTTTGTGGAGATCCATTACTTTCCACATTTTGTGGGATTTGCACCCTAGTGGTGGCCATCCTGTAGCTTTTAACCAACCGATCGCTTGTACTATATCCTGTGATACTGACAAGAATATTGAGTATACCGGTATACCCTGATGCTTCAAACACCTCACAATTCAGCAAAGTTCATCATTTTTAGTCCGAAGTCAGTGTTGACCCATAGGACTGGCAGAATTGGTGGACCTGCATGAGTGTTTGGCAGGAGCTTGGTCACAGCCTCCCTCCTTTGGAGAAGATGAAGCTCCTGTTGCGCACAGTAGGTCTCACAGTTTGCTTTTTGTAAAGCAACAAAAATCAATGATCGTGTTTGGTGCTTTAAGGTCGATCCTGAACACATTTCGGTGACCGTCAGAAGCATCTGGGCTGGCTGTATGGTGTCCCGTCAGAAAAAGATCCCACACCCAGCGGTTTGTTTCGCTTTTCTTCCCACCTTAGAGGTTCTCATGTGCTTGGTCTGCTTGGTGTCATTTTGTGTCCAGAGTTTGACCTTCATTTAGGGAATGGTGATGGCGCTCAAGTATAAATTTGCTAGGACGGGTCTACAGCAATATGCGGTTTCTTTTCTTAGTTTTCTTGTGTCGGTGCTTTACTCACTCCAGGACGGTGGCCCTCGCACATTCCATTGGCAACGCCCTCGACCAGTCATGTTTCTCAAGGGAGCTGGCAATGAGATGTGTTCGACTTCTATACAGTAGTCTATCAAGCAAAGGATCTCCCAAGCAATTGAATCTCCAGTGTGTCGACAAGCGGTGAGTGAGCGAATGCTTGAATCTTTACGCACCAGTCAGTCTTTTCAGCCATCGCCAGCTACCTACAGTCCTGAGGAGATCATTTTCGGCCTTTGGCAGCAAAAGCACTAGCGTTCCGGGCTTAGCTTGGACGCACTATATAATTCGTGCGGAATTGAAAGCCACTCGCCACACGCCCACCTATGTATGAAAGCCTAAGAAACCAGGAGTAAGGTATGTAAAGCCGCTTGAACATGAAAGCCTCCAAAACCTCCAAAGCTTTGAACTCGTACATCTTAAAGGCAGCAAACTCGTGACTGCAGTGAAGGAACCGCTGCAAACGGCCAGAAATTTGTTCGAGTTAGGAACGGGACCAAGTGGGGAGTTCTCAAGTAAAACTGCAGGTATGTTGACAGGACGTCTCCCGTCGATATCACAAGCAAGAGATAGGTGTCTTCGCACCCGCCCTATCTCTGCTTCAGGTGCCCCCTGCGTTTTGTAGAACCGACAGGTTCCCTTTGATTCCAAGGGTTCCAGACACACAGACACAGCATGAGGCTAAAATTATCCAGGCAAGAGGCCCAAAACCAGTGGCAAAGGGCATATATAAAGACAAAGGAAAGTATAAGTATGCGAAGGAAATGGCGGACCTTTTTTGTTTGTGATGCTGGTGCTGTGTAATCCTTCTACGAGCTCCTTGCGAACAGGCACAGAAGCTACGAGCAGAAAACAAAGGCTTACGACCATGTCCAGAGTCAACAGCACATAAATGAGATCACAGACTGAAGGCACACATATGAAAGCAAAACGTCAAAGCACAAGTATGAAAGCAAACGCACGAGGGCACACATATTGAAGTACAGATATGAGAGAGCGCGTGCGTGAGAGCACATGCGTGGGAGCACGCATATGCGAGCAAACGCATGAGCAGTCGACTAAGTCTGCCAATGACCGCACCTGGCATTTGTTTCATGCATGGCTATTTGAATGTTTTTCCAGTGGGGGACGAAGGTGGGAGTGTTCGGGAGGACAGCCTACAGCTATGTTGCCGTCCATGAAGTTGAGCCGTTGGTGATGATGATCCGTGATCATGATGGTGATTGATGCCACGGGTTGTCCATCAGAAGCCGGGAGGGTACCAAACACTGTGGTGCTGTGCGTGATACGAAATCTGCACATGATCTTTGGAAAGTGCTGCCCCTGCCATGAGGTGCACAAAGTCCTGCACCTGCAGCCAATTGCCGAATGCAGCAGGGCCAAAAGCGACAACAACCCAAAAGAACCATGGCCATTTCCACTATTTTCTATACATATATATATATCTCTCTCTATAATCTCTCTCTATCTATCTATCTATATATATATATATATTGCATTTGTGGCAATCAGACTGCAGGATGGCCAGCCCATTGAACGTTTTCCAGCTCCCTGCTCCCAAACTCAATCCAGTGGTGCTATGTGGCATGTCAGCTATTCAGCAGGATGATGCCCCCCCAAGACAACTGGAAGAACTGAAATTTGCGTTCAGCAGCCAGAAATTCAATTCACTTGACAATAGCATTGCGGCGCCACTTGACATATGGAACAGAGGCAACCAGCGAGAACTTCAACCCTCAAGTCTTGTGAAGCCACCAAGTTTCAGGACAAAGAGCTACACCTGGCACAAATCTGCACATCGAAGTACAACTGCTTTGATCTCCTGCGCCTGCCACGAAAAGTGAGTCGAAATGCAACTTGAAGACTTTGAGAGGCACGAATGTGCCGTACATTCATAAGTCGCAACAAATTTTCTGGAGCACCCTTGACCAAGCCCATCCTTAATCATTGCGGTAAGAACTCCTAGTGTGTCGACACTGTTCGGGGAACAATCTGTATATATATATATATATCTATGTGTTTTCTAGTTTAGACTGTTCATACTTCGAACGCTTACCTGTAGTACAAGGTTTTGACTCGCAACCACAAATGAGAAGAGACTGTATGTAGTCGCGTTGGTTTGAGACGGACGCCAGCCTGCCGGAATGGTGTTTGACCAACTTGCTCTCGCTTTAGCTAGCTCATGTATGTGCGATTGTGCAAATGAGTAATGGTTTATTAGATGTATGCAGGGTAAGCTCATGGGAATTTTGCATTCCTTTCGGACTTTTCGACAATTTCTAAATGAAGTAAAGGTACAGTATGGTTGTTTTTTTTACTGTGCAGGCCCAGTGCGCTGGCTATCACACCTCCAGAGACAGGGGCTTAGGCGAATATGGTTTGCTCTTGTTGGCCAGAGAGCGAGGGATCAAAGATCATTCAATCCAACAAGGTACAGACAGTGGATTGAACCAACCATCAACCTGACCTGCAAGGCAACTTTGCTATGAAGTGCTATGAATCACCGTCATTCCTAGTTTCCCGTCTCAACCATTTGGCCATTTGCTCGCAGTGTGACCGGAGGTGGTGGCAACAGGTCTCGCATGGAAGTTGCAAAGAGTCTAGGCCT